CGGGGTTGTGCAAATCGGCGAACGACACGAATTAGCGACCTCCTTGCTCAGACGGGGGCCTCCCTGGAGGGGTGGGATGGGCACGAAACCATGTAAATAACATTGGTTTCCGACACCCTCCTCGCTCAGGCGGGGCCCCCTGGAGGGGTGGGCCACTCAGGATGTGGGGCAGCACGAAACCATGTAGATAGTAGGGGTTTCCGATACCCTCCTCGCTCAGACGGGGCCTCCCTGGAGGGGTGGGAGGGGCACGAAACCATGTCAAGAGCATGGGTTCCCGTTACCCTCCTCGCTCAGGCGGGGCCTCCCTGGAGGGGTGGGCCACTCAGGATGTGGGGCAGCACGAAACCATGTAAATAATATGGGTTTCCGATACCCTCCTCGCTCAGACGGGGCCTCCCTGAAAGGGTGGGAGGGGCACGAAACCATGTCAATAGCATGGGTTTCCGGTACCGTCCTCGCTCAGGCGGGTTCTCCCTGGACGGGTGGGCCACTCAGGATGTGGGGCAGCACGGAACCGTGAAAATAGTATGGGCTTCCGATACCCTCCTCGCTCGGACGGGGCCTCCCTGGAGGGGTGGGAGGGGCACGAAACCATGTAACTAGCATGGGTTTCCGATACCCTCCTCGTTCAGGCGGGGCCTCCCTGGAGGGGTGGGAAGGGCACGAAACCATATAAATAGTATGGTTGTCCGATACCATCCTCGCTCAGGCGCGGCCTCCCTGGAGAGGTGGGAGGGGCACGAAACCATGTAAATAGTATTGGTTTCCGATACCCTCTTCGTTCAGGCGGGGCCTCCCTGGAGAGGTGGGAAGGGCACGAAACCATGTAAATAAGATGGTTTTCCGATACCCTCCTCGCTCAGGCGGGGTTTCCCTGGAGGGGTGGAAGTGGTATTGATATGGGAGGCGGTTGGTGGGAGGGAGAAGGAGAGGATGCTCTGGGAAAACAAGAACCCCACTCGGGATGTGGGGGAAAATTTCAGAGTGAGGGGGCCGAGCGGTCATCCACGGTCCCGGGGCGCGTGGCTGAAGTGACGTTATGAATGTCGTCGTCCCCGCCGCGACCTAGACCGCGACCCGCCCGCGACCCACCCACGACCCGCCTGCGACCCACCCACGACCCACCCCGCGACCCACCCGCGACCCACCCGCGACCCACCCCGCGACCCACCCGCGACCCGCCCGCGACCCACCCGCGACCCACCCGCGACCCACCCGCAACCTGGCCCGCGACCCACCCGCGACCTGGCCCGCGACCCACCCACGTTGCTTTACCGAAAAAATCGGCGCCTGCGGCGGGCTCACTGCATGATGTATAAAAGTTCGGCGCCTGCGGCGGGCTTCTTCAGAACCTCGCAGACTGCCGACGTCCTCGCCGCCCACTCACTCTTATCCGCAACTGCGGGTTATACGTACATACTTATATATGCGTGTACAAATTAAATCTGCTTAGCCAAGAAGATAGAGAGCGCAACAAATAACAAAAAAACGAACACCGCTGAACAACAACAGAAAACAAGGCAGTACACGCACGGTTGCATCAACCGTACGGGGGGGGGGGATGTGGAACCCTGGGACCCATCCTATATGAGGGGGGAAGGCCTGTAAACCATTGACCTGGCATCGCAGCTGGCCATGCGCGAAACCTCAGAGAACAACGTATCCGATACATGAACGCAATGTGAGGAGAGCTGGCGCCGCCGCACATTTATACATAGATGTGTGTATATATAAGGCTTCCCATACATACACTGATACATACCGGAGTGTCAGCCACCAGGCCCCCGCCTTTTCGATGACCGCCAACAAGCCCCTGGCAGCATAGGGCCACTATACATGAACCCCGGGGACCCCGCATATATACACGTACATACATATACTAACTCTGGGGCAATTTGGGGGCCATCTTCAGGCCTCGGGGACCCTCGGGGGTGAAAAGGCGAGAAACAACAAACATTTATTCAACCAATAACAAAACGCACCGTCGCCATGAACCAAGCATTGGTTACAAAGCCGTCGCTGTGATGCAAACTTGAATTCGCCCCTGTCCTGCGATGCGGCGTTTAGGCATGCTCTTCCTTACAAGACTCCACGACAGCGTCGGCGCCGCAGTTCCGGCTTGATTACGGAGGTCCACAAAGCGGGCCGCTGCCATGAACCAGAATCATTGGCTGAGCCTACTGACTTGGTTTCCGCCCCGGGACGCGCTGACTCCCGACGACAACGCCCGCCCGACGGCCCCGCGCCTTCGCCTTGCCCGCGAAAACCAACCGCCCGAAAAAAAACACCCAACGCCCCGCTCGAACCCTTCACGCACAAAAACACTTCTTTACATCAGCCACGAACGGATTCGCCTTTCTAGCTGCATCCGTACCTTACCAAAAAAACATACCAGAAGAAGCGTGGACGAGGCGACCGCAGCACAGAGCGCAGCGGCGAGAGAAAAGCTGGAAGAAACGCCGACCCGCACCGCCATTATTTTTACCGCGCTGGCATACAAAGTCCGCGCGCCCGTGCTCAGGATGAGGATCAGGGACAAGATGTTGTGGCGAAGCGAAGCGAGCCAACAGGATCTTGTGTATATATATATAGTATGAAAATAAAATGTATATAGAGGTAAGGACCAAAACCACGCGGGCGCTTCGCGCGCGTTTAGGCTCCAGCAGGCCCCAGGCCTCGACGATTCCACTGAAGTAGTGGACCACAGATGCTTTGAATGGGAAGTGAAGAAGTGTCCATCACGCTGAACGCATTACGGGCAATGAGAAGTTCACGCATGTCAATCCGTATTCCGGAAGGCTTTCAGGGAAGGTGGTTGCGTAGGGGGGCGGAGGCCTGATGAATCGGGTTTCCAGAAGGCCTTCTGGGAACGTAATTTTTCGGGGCGTCTCGGGGAGCCTGTTGGGGCGTGCCGTCGTCGTCGTCGTGATGTCGTCGTCGTTGCAGTCGTCGTCGTCGTCGACGACGATGACGACGACGACCGCGAGGACGACGACGGCGCAGAACCTCGGCCCCCGTGCTTCTGGAACCCCTACAGAGGACCTCCTCGCCCCCTCCGTAGGACCGGCTGACGACCATCACTAAGCGTCACAAACTCGGGCCCCAGCGTACGGAGAAACCGGAACACGTCCCGGGCGCTACCATACGGTTCAAAAGAGCACTTGGGGCAACTTTGTCCGAAGCGGACCGCGGAGGGCCGCGAGAAGGCGATCAGTCATGTTCCCAATCAACTTCCCAGACAGCTCTCTGGGGGCTCCTTGGGGGTCTCTTGGAGCTTCCCTGGCGGCCTCTTGGGGGCCTCACGGGGCTTCTTGGGAGCCTCTTGGTGGCCTCCGGGGGCCTACTGGGGGCCTCTAGGGCCAGAAACCTCGAAATATCGGTTCGTGGTCCGCCTCTGGGCCCCCTCTTGGGGCGTTCTTGGAGCACATTTTGGTTGTCTGGGGAGCCTTCTAGGCCGTCTTGGGGCCTCTTCGGGACCTCGTAGGCCGTCTTTCTTGGAGCGATCTGGAGGGCCTCCGAAGCTGTGAGGAAGCGCTGGGAAGCGGGATGAGCGAGAACGCGAACATCCTTCAAAAATGCACGCTAAATGTATGATTTTTGCCTCCCAGGGCTCTCTTGGGGAGCCTCTTGATGTCGTCCTGGAGCGTGTTGGAGTCCTCGTCGGCCGTCTCTGAGGGCATCTTGGGCGTCCTCGGGGCCTCGTGGGACCCTCTTAGCCTGTCGTGGCTCGTTTCGGGGCGGGCCCGGGCCGTCTCGGAGCTCTGAACCCCCCCTAGAACTCCTGGGGGGGCGCCCATGGAGGGTACAGGCACTGGCCCGCCCCCCCTGGCCCTACTCATAGATACATCTATATATACACACATGTGTATATATATATATATATGTGTATGTATGTGTATATATATATATATACACACGAATATAACTATGCACACAAACGTATATATATACGTGTACGTGTATGTGTGGGTATGTGCATGTGTATGTGTATGTGGATGTGTATGTGTATGCGTATGCCTATGCGTATGCGTATGTGTATGTGTGTGTATGTGTATGTGTATGTGTATGTGTATGTGTATGTGAATGTGTATGTGTATGTGTATGTGTATGTGTATGTGTATGTGTATGTGTATGTGTGTGCGTGTGCGTGTGCGTGTGCGTGTGCGTGTGCGTGTGCGTGTGCGTGTGCGTGTGCGTGTGCGTGTGCGTGTGCGTGTGCGTGTGCGTGTGCGTGTGCGTGTGCGTGTGCGTGTGCGTGTGCGTGTGCGTGTGCGTGTGCGTGTGCGTGTGCGTGCGCGTGCGCGTGCGCGTGCGCGTGCGCGTGTGCGTGTGCGTGCGTGTGCGTGTGCGTGTGCGTGCGCGTGCGCGTGCGCGTGTGTGTGTGTGTGTGTGTGTGTGTGTGTGTGTGTGTGTGTGCAAGCGCACGTTGTGGTTCAACGCGTACGTGAAGGGCCAGCAGTAACAGTGGAAGGTGGCTGCCCACATTCTCAGCTACTGTGTAGGCCTAGCGCATACGCTCGTGCACACGTCATAAGCAGGTGGGAGAATAGCTGGCGCAAGCGCCGTCAGCTACAGTGCCTACCCCACCACGCTTGGCTCCGTCCAAGAATAGGCCCTACCGAACATGGTGAATCGAACCCTGTCAGATCCTCCTGCCCCTCCCTCCTCCTTACCATCATCCTCCCCCTCTTCCTCTCCAGCCTGGACCCTAAAGCCTTCCTGATGGCAAGCCTTCCGTCCTGGGTTGTCTACTGGTGGCCCTGGGGCCCAAGAACGGCCCCAGGAGGCTGACAACGGCGAACAACCTCCAGAACCTCTTTTCTTCAGGGCGCCTCCGCTTCATGGCGACCCTCCCCCCCTTGCCCCTCGCCTCCCTCCATCCTCCATCCACCCTCCCCCATCCTCCATCCTCCTCGCCTCCTTCCGTCCTCTTCCAGCCTCCATCCTCCCTCTCTCCCTGCATCCATCCTCATCGCCCCTCCCCTCCGCACCCTCGCCGCGCTTGCGCCAGGCCAGAAACAGTAGAAAGGCGTCCTTTTCTCGCGGCGGCGGCTGCGCTGCCGCTGCATCCCCGCCACGCCCCCCAGCCAGCGGCCCCGCCACTACCATCGGAGTGGCCCAGGGGAAAAGATGTGCCGAGAGCAGGGAATTCGACCTCTGGCTCTCCTCAGCAGAGGAACGGAACAACTGCACAAGCATAAACTAAAGGAGGTCCGCGCAGATTTCTTGGATCGGCGATGGACCCCCCTGGCGGCGCCTCTGGCGCCGCACCTGGAGCGCTGCGCGCGCCAGGGAGGAGGGGGGTCAGAGCAAATCCTGCACATCCGTGCGGACCTCCAGAAGTGTTTGCGTACGCAACTGCTTCTTCTTCGATTCAGAGTCCAAACGCCCAGCTGCGTGGCCCCCTCCTGGGCCCCTCCCTGCACCAGCGTTCTGCCTCCGTCCCCGAGTCCCCATCGCGTCGGATGCCGCGGTCGAACTCCCCCCTCTGTATGAACTTGCCACGAACCCCACGTCTCGCTCCAACGAGCGGCCCTACTCTAGAGGGCTCCACAGGGCGTGCGCGACGGTCGGACGAACGGGGTAGAAACTAGATCCAGTCTCGGACCAGCATCCCGCGATGCGCCGAGAGCCGCGAGTCTTCGATTCTCGTAAAATGAAGGCGCTTCAGAGAACTACAGTCGGGCTGCTGAAAGAAGGAACGCCAAATAAGGAACGAAGCCCCTTCTCGGCCCTGTAAGCGCCTCCGTGCCCCAGGAGGGCAAGAGGAACAGTACTGGAGGAACCTGAGGAACATCGAGCCCCTTCCGAACCCAAACTGTTCCTTACTTCAGCGCCTTGACTGCAGACGATGGCCACATGGTCCCTCCGAAAACTACGCTCGGCGACCGACAAGCTAACCCCAAAGGGTCTTTAATTCACCCCCCCGGCAATGATGGAAAACTCATTTATTCCCCATATCCTAAGATGGGGTTCTTGTTATTACTTGGACGCCTCCTACTCCTTCTCCTCCCTCCTCCTTCCTCCTCCCCTCCTCCTCGTTCCTCATACTCAGACCTACTCATACTCAGACTTACTCATGCTCAGACTTACTCATACTCAGACATACTCATACTCAGACTTACTCACACTCAGACATATTCATACACAGACTTACTCATACACAGACTTACTCACACCCAGACGTACTCATACACAGACTTACTCATACCCAGACTTACACATACACAGTGTTACTCATACTCAGACTTACTCATACCCAGACGTACACATAAACAGACTTTCTCACGCTTGGAGAGCAGATTGTGAGGATGTCTCAGGCGGGGCGCTGGTTTCAGCACCCCTAAGGGGAGCCGCCAGGGGTGTTTGCACGGGCTCGTTCGCGGCCATTTTGTGGGGATGTCTCAGGCGGTTTGCTTGTTTCTGGGCCCAACATCCTTCGCTTTCGGAGCAGATTTGGAGGATGTCTCGAGCGAGGCGCTCATTTCAGCACCCCTAAGGGGAGCCGCCAGGGGTGTTTGCACGGGCTCGTTCGCGGCCATTTTGTGGGGATGTCTCAGGCGGTTTGCTTGTTTCTGGGCCCAACATCCTTCGCTTTCGGAGCAGAGTTGGAGGATGTCTCGAGCGAGGCGCTCATTTCAGCACCCCTAAGGGGAGCCGCCAGGGGTGTTTGCACGGGCTCGTTCGCGGCCATTTTGTGGGGATGTCTCAGGCGGTTTGCCTGGGCCCAACATCCTTCGCTTTCGGAGCAGATTTGGAGGATGTCTCGAGCGAGGCGCTCATTTCAGCACCCCTAAGGGGAGCCGCCAGGGGTGTTTGCACGGGCTCGTTCGCGGCCATTGTGTGGGGATGTCTCAGGCGGTTTGCTTGTTTCTGGGCCCAACATCCTTCATTTCAGCACCCCTAAGGGGAGCCGCCAGGGGTGTTTGCACGGGCTCGTTCGCGGCCATTTTGTGGGGATGTCTCAGGCGGTTTGCTTGTTTCTGGGCCCAACATCCTTCGCTTTCGGAGCAGTTTTGGAGGATGTCTCGAGCGATACGCTCATTTTCACCCCCCAGGTGGGGCAGATTTTGAGGATGTCTCGATCGGTTCGCTTGTTTTGGTGGCCAGGCTCGTGGGCGCAGATTCTTCTCAGGATGCCACAGGAGGCCCCAACAGGCTCCAGGAGGCCCCAGGAGACCACATGAGGTCCCAGGAGGCATCAGGAGGCCACAGAAAGACTCAAGAGGCCACAGGATGTCCCAAGAGGCTCCAGGAGGCCCCAGGAAGCTCCAGAAGGCCTCAGGAAACCACAGGAGGCCCCAGGAGGCAACAGGAAGCGCCAGGAGGCCTCGGAAGGCAACAGGAGGCCCCGAGAGGCCCCAGGAGCAGGAGGCCTCAGAAGGCAACAGGAGTGGCTCCAATCCCATGTGTGTTACGTATGCTCCTATCGATTGGGCCTCACCTGGAGCACGATTCTTTGATGTTCTACGTATGTTTCTATAGATGGTCCTTCTCCTGTGTACACAATCCTAAATGTTTTACTCATGTTCCTATGTATTGGGCCTCTCCTGGGGCACGAGTCCTTGGTGTTTTACGCGTGTTCCTATAGATTGCCCTTCTCCTGTGGCTCTAATCCGCAATGTTTTATGTACGTCTGTTGCTATAGATTGCGCCTCTCCTGGGGCACGAAACCTTCCTAGGAGGTCCCAGGAGGTCCCAAGAGGCTCCTGGAGACCCCAGGAAACCCCAGTAGGTTTCAGGAGGCCCCAGGAGGCCCCAGGCTCATGCACAGAGACGCGCTCGTACTACTGAGGCTCATTCACACTCCAATTCATTCGCAGTTAGATTGATGTCCAGACCGTCACAACTGAAGCCCGTTAATATTCGAAAGCTCTTGCGCCTAGACATTCACGGCGGACAGGTCCAAGCGAGTAGATGCACATATGGGGAGCTCCACGCAGTGAATAATTTTTTCCGCCGGCTTATTGACGGATTGGGACCCCGACAATGGTTGGAAATTACTTATTCTCGTCGGCAGATGCATGAGAGGGCATGAGGAGGAGGAGGAGGAGGAGGAGGAGGAGGAGGAGGAGGAGGAGGAGGAGGAGGAGGAGGAGGAGGAGGGGGACGGGGAGGAGGGGAGGAGGAGGAGGAGGAGGACGGAGGGGAAGGAGGACGGAGGGGAAGGAGGACGGAGGGGAAGGAGGAGGAGGAGGAGGAGGGACGAGTTTCTATTCCCCGCCGAGGGCTTAGGGGGGGGGAGTGTATCATGAAAGACCCTCTGCGGTTGGACCCCTCTCCCCGAGCCCCTCCAAAGGGGGGTCTCCGCGGGCCTCCCCGCCGGAGAGAGGCCCCTGCTCCGCACAAGGGCCTCCGAGTGCACCGCCCCGCTGCCCTGCCATCGCTCGGACGCCCCCTCCCCGTGCACGCTCCGGCTGCGGGCGCTTACTACCCTTCGGCATCGATCGGGGTTCCCGACGGGCCATCATGCTGACATTTGATACAAAGGGTTTACACATCCATTAAGGCTTTCAACAAGGCCTGCTCAAAAAACGCTCCCAGACATTTCCTGGACATTTAAACGGAATTCAAGGAATCGAGCCTCAGAAGGGAATCCAAGAATGCAAACTTACTTGTTCGCCAAATTCGAAAGCTGGGCGAGGGCTGCTGAAACCGTGGCTGCTGAAACGGCCCTCCGGGAAGGAAATTACTCACTGCGTGGAGCTCCCCATATGTGCATCTCATGTTCTATGTCATGCCGGGGTGAGCGTCTGTTCATGAGCGGTCGACTACAATAGCGCGTCCACGTGGGCTCTTCCTCCCCCTCTTCCTCCTCAACCCTGGTTCCCCAGGGCGCGTTTCACCACTTTTGGAGGCGCAGCCCCGCCGGCGATGTTGGGCATGAAAACGAGCAAACCGCCTGAGACATCCCCACAAACGGACCGCGAACGAGCCCGTGCAACCACCCCTGGCGGCTCCCCTTAGGGGTGCTGAAACCAGCGCCCCGCCTGAGACATCCTCACAATCTGCTCTCCAAGCGAAGGATGTTGAGCCCAGAAACAAGCAAACCGCCTGAGACATCCCCACAAAATGGCCGCGAACGAGCCCGTGCAAACACCCCTGGCGGCCCCCCTTAGGGGTGCTGAAACCAGCGCCCCGCCTGAGACATCCTCACAATCTGCTCTCCAAGCGAAGGATGTTGAGCCCAGAAACAAGCAAACCGCCTGAGACATCCCCACAAAATGGCCGCGAACGAGCCCGTGCAAACACCCCTGGCGGCTCCCCTTAGGGGTGCTGAAACCAGCGCCCCGCCTGAGACATCCTCACAATCTGCTCTCCAAGCGAAGGATGTTGAGCCCAGAAACAAGCAAACCGCCTGAGACATCCCCACAAAATGGCCGCGAACGAGCCCGTGCAACCACCCCTGGCGGCTCCCCTTAGGGGTGCTGAAACCAGCGCCCCGCCTGAGACATCCTCACAATCTGCTCTCCAAGCGAAGGATGTTGAGCCCAGAAACAAGCAAACCGCCTGAGACATCCCCACAAAATGGCCGCGAACGAGCCCGTGCAAACACCCCTGGCGGCTCCCCTTAGGGGTGCTGAAACCAGCGCCCCGCTTGAGACATCCTCCAAATCTGATGTGTGTTGAGTAAGTCTGAGTATGAGTAGGTCTGAGTATGAGTATGCCTGAGTATGAGTAAGTCTGTGTATGAGTAAGTCTGTGTATGAGTAAGTCTGGGTATGAGTAGGTCTGTGTATGAGAAAGTCTGTGTATGTGTACGTCTGGGTATGAGTAAGTCTGAGTATGAGTAATACTGTGTATGAGTAAGTCTGGGTATGAGTAAGTCTGTGTATGAGTACGTCTGGGTGTGAGTAAGTCTGTGTATGAGTAAGTCTGTGTATGAGTATGTCTGAGTGTGAGTAAGTCTGAGTATGAGTAGGTCTGAGTATGAGTAAGTCTGAGTATGAGTAAGTCTGAGTATGAGTAGGTCTGGGTATGAGGAAAGAGGAGGAGGGGAGGAGGAAAGAGGAGGAGGGAGAGGGAGTAGGAGGCGTCCAACTAATAACAAGAACCCCATCTTAGGATATGGGGAAAAAACAAAAACTTTCCGGAAGGAGGCGCGGAGGTCGATTTTAGCAGCCACGGATTTAGCAGCCCTTGCCGGGCTTCGGACAGATTTTGGACGCCCGAGATGGGTACAGGAAAAATGGGTACAATGCCCAACAACAAATGCTGTCCCAAACCAGCACCGGCCGCTGTTGGGCAGGCGGCCTTCCGTCTCAAATGGGCACAGGCCGCGGCGACACCGACAGAGAGTCCTGTTCAAAATGATCAGGAACCGCTGTTGGGCAATGTACCCATTCTTTCCGTACCCATGTCGTTCGTGCCGACAGATGGCCCAGGCTGCCCCTCGATGGTCCTCGCCGGAGGAGAGCAAGCACACGTCCTAGCGATGCCAAGGTGTATCAGCGCCGCCCTGGATCGGCAACGCATCTGCCTCGAACCAGACTTCCGATGCCTTGAGTGTCATGGGACCGTCATGCATCAGAGGCTGGCCGCTTGAGCCAAGCGGAGGCGGACGCAGGCAAGGTGCTCGCTATGCTCGCCTTCGACCTCCGTTCAAAGTGTGCCAGCGTCGCCCAGGATCGGCAAGGCATCTGCCTTAAATTAACAGGCGAAGAACGGTATAAAATCAACTTTTTCGCTGTCGGGGGCGCCTGTCCCTGGGCGGCTGGAAAGTTTATACCCCTACGGTGCCACCGTAAGGGTATAAACTTTCCAGCCGCCCAGGGACAGGCGCCCCCGACAGCGAAAAAGTTTATTTTATACCATTATTCGCACGTTAATTGAGCCAGGCTTCTGATGCCTTGACTGTTCTTCCATGCGGGGCCCCTAGGAACCCTCGACCGCTGCCCGTGGGCTGCAGCATGTCGTCCCGGACCGTTTCCAGGAGGCCCCAGACCCCACACCGGCCCCTAAGACGCCAACAACAGGGAGAAACATACTACGTCTTGACTTTTTCAAGGCGTCGTGGACCTGGACTTCCCCGGGCCCATGTTTGATTGCCTGGAGGCCCGAACTCAGGGAAACCACATCCGCCCGAAGCCAGGAGTCGACGATGCCTCCGCCCCCATCGCCGATGCAGAAGCGATCCTCCGGCGATCCCAAAGATCGGAGACGCCTCCGCCGAGGAGGAGGCAGCAGGATGAGCAGGAGAAGGAGGAGCTATGATATGAGCAGGAGGAGGAGGAGGAGGAGGAGGAGGGAGGAGGAGGAGGAGGAGGAGGAGGAGGAGGAGGAGCAATGGAGCAATGCCGAGGATGCGCAAACGAGTCGTGAGCGCCCGACGGGGGAGTGGACAGAAGGAGGAGGAGGAGGAGGAGGCGGAGGAGGAGGAGGAAGAGGAGGGAAGGGAGGAGGAAATGGAGGAGGCTGAAGAAGTTGCAAGGAGGGGGGAGCAGACGTAGGGTTGTAATTAACGGCGCGCTCCTCCCCCCTGCTTCTGCTCCTTCCCAAACTTCCTTCCCCACCTTCTCCTCCTCCTCCCCCCTCTTCCCTGCGCCCCCCACCCTGACCCCGCTCCTCCCCCCATGCTCTCCCTCCCCCCTTCCTCCCCGCTCCCCCCCCCGCCCCCTGCTCCTCCCCCCGCCCGGCTCCGGCTCCGGCTCCCCGCTGCGTCCATGGGGCCTGGAAGGACCCCACCCATCGGCCGCTCCTCGGGCGGGGCTTAAGTCTGCGTCCCCCAGGCCTTCTGGGAACCCCCTTTGGTGCACAACACCCTTCAATGAACGCGATCCGGGACCGGACCCAGCGGACGCAGGCCCTCAAACATTGCGGCCGCGGCACCCTCTCGAGAACCGAAAAGGGGCAATCGGCGCATCGACTTGGCAGCAGGGGGTTCTACCAACCTTCCGATCGGGAGTTGTCTGACCGCGGAGGGGCAATCAACGCGGGGGTGACGAAGCGTGCGCCCTCGGGGCCCCAGGGGCAGTCCCTGGACCCCTCCCGGGGTCCAAGCGCACCAGATGTCCGAGCTGCGCCCAGCCATGGCGACGAGGGCCCCCCAGAAGGCCGACGACCGCTGTCCCGACTCGCCCTCCTCTGAGGACCTCTCCCTCTCTCGGCGGTGGACAAACCTCCCTTTAGTAAACCTCCCTTTAGGGAAAACGGCCTGGGACCGAAACCGACGGACCTGGACCCGCAAAAATGACGGCCGCGACGCCCCCTCGCAAACCGAAAACGGCCAGTTCCTTAGTCGACGTGTCAGGGTAGGAGGTCTGTCCACCCCCGACTCTCCCCCTCCCGGGGCCGCGACGCCGCCCCGACCCGCAACCGCGACGGGGCCCTCTGGCTCTGGCGCGCAGCCCCACGTGCGCGCGGCTCAGGCCCCTCCCGCCGCTGGCGGAGCCACCCCACCTCGGGGAGTGACGCTCGCACCCCGCCTCCCTCCGCCCTTCCCTCCTCCGACGCAGCACGCTCCTCCCCCTGCTCCTCACGCCTCCCTCCTGCTCCCTCCCTCCCTCCCACTCGTCCCCCTCCTCCTCGTCCCCCGTCTCCCTCTCCTCGTGCTCCGCCGCGAGGGCCCAGGGAATGTCCTCCTCGTTGCGCCTCCCCACTGCTTTGCAGCGCCCCGCTCGAGACGCCTCCAATCTCAAGCTCGGTCTTCCCTCCGAGAGGCTGGACTGAAAAAGGTTTGTAGCGATGGCTCAGGCCCCAATAAACAGGGACGTTGATAAACCAGGACATTTGGCGCTCCTGAGAAAACTGCAGCCGTGAGCCAAAACTTCTCCATTCCACGTGCGCTCCAGTGTCCAGTGAGATCTTCCAGGCCCTGGTTCGCAATGTCCTGGTTCAAGGGGTCCATGAAATCGTCTGTCCCCCAACCCACCCCCACCGGCGGGGGCAAACATCTCGCGAAGCTGGGGCAGCGTGGCCAACTTCACGGCCTCGTTCCAGAGCTCCTCGTCGACCTGGCCGGAGGGCAGCTGGAAGAGCCCCGCCGCTGCCAGCTGATCTCCAGCGGCCTTCGTGCCCACCACCTCCACGAAGCTTGCGGCGTCGGGCGCATCCAGCTCGCTGCCCATGTCCACCGAGATCGCGCCCCCGTCGGTGGTGGTGAGCACGCCTGGCGAAGAGAAGCGACCCGCCACTCGCACAGGAGTCCCGGTGCCGACCTGCTGGTACAATGCGTAGTTCACGCGCTCCCCCACCTGGTGGGGCCAAACGGACAAAGCATATGCACCCGCTCATTTGACTCCCACTGGGATGGCTCCAGATTTGGACACCCGACATGGGTACTGGAAAGATGGGTAGGCACAATGCCAAACAGCAATGTTGTCCAAATCCATCAGCGGGCGCAGTTGGGTCGGGCGGCCGCTTGTCTCAAATGGACACCGTCCCCGGCGACACCGACAGCGATTCCAGTTCAAAATGGGCAGAATGTGCTGTCGGTCTGCGTGCCCACTCTTTCAGCACCAATGTCGATCGTGCCGAGCAGAGAGGCTGAAAGTGGGAGATGGACTGTGCGGAATACCTGAGGACGATGAGAAAGCGAGGGAGCATCTGCAAGCTGAGGCGAGACCCTTCTCTGGCCAGCAAGAACACCCGCCTACAGGGCCGACGGTGGCACCTGGCCTCATACAGTCGGGGCCCTGAAGAAGGAACCCTTTTCGTTGGGGAGGGGCTCCGCGTTCCTTAAGTGTTTCGCAGCTTGCCTCAGGTGTTCCTTATGTTTTCGATCGGAAATCGAAGTGTAACTCATGGAAACAAGGGGCCTCGTTCTTTATTTTGGGCTTCTTAGGTCAAGCCCCCGACTGTAGCCAGCAGGCGAGCGGTGCCACGCCCTGGACCGCTCCTCAGACGGTAGGGCTCTCACGGACCTTCCGTGCGAGCTATGCTTCCGTTCTCGGGCGAGCCCGACCACCGGCATGCTGGCCACGCGCGCCGCGCCGCTCGCCACCGAGACGTCCATTGCGGCCATCGTCTTCCTTCTGGACGCACCGCGGCGGACGAGGTGGTCGCGACGACTGGGGAGGCTCGAGCCAGAACTGTGCGGGCCCCGACCCCTCGCCCTCCTCATCCGCCACCTCCTCCCGCCTAATCCTTGCCCTCCTCCTGCCCCTTCCCCTCCGCATCACCTCCCCCCCAAGGAGAGGGACGGACAGGGGAAGGCAGGCGGGGAAGGGGGGGGCGGGAAGGGGACAGAGGACGTGATGGGGAGGGGCAGCGGGGGGAGGAGCAGCGAAGTTGACCCATATTGGGGATGGGGTGAGGGAGGGGGAAGGGGTGGAGGTGAAGGAGATCAGAGGGGAAGGGAGGGGGGGGAGGGGCGGGGGGAAAGGGCAAGGGGGGACCTGGGGAGATCTGTGGAAGGTAGGGGTGGGGGGCAAGATCGGTGCCCTCGCGCCTTATCTGACATCCTGCTTCTCCCACCCATGCCTTCCCATGGCGCTGATTGTTTCTCTATCCGCGGACGCGTGTCACAGCGGACCTGGAACTCCACAACGGATTCCATCGTATTATGCGCGGTTGGCGGTGCGACTGCGTACAGGAGATGAGGGGGAGGCGGGGAGAGGCGAGGAGGAGGAGGAAGGAGGATAAGGAGGGGGGAGGAGGAGCGGAGGAGAGAAAGAGGAGCGGAGGAGGAGAGAGGAGGAGGAGGAGGAGGAGGAGTGGGGGAGGAGGAGGTAGAGGGAAAGAGGGAGGAGGAGGAGGAGGAGGAGGAGAGGAGAGAGGAGGGAGGAGGAGGGTGGGAGCGATGAGGAGGAAGGATGGGGAGGGAGGAGAAGAGGCAGGGGGGGGAGGAGGAGAGGAGGAGGAGGAAAAGGAGGAGGAGGAGGAGGAGGAGGAGGAGGGGAAAATAATCAGGAGGGAAAGGACGAGGATGAGGAAGCAGGAGGACGAGGACGAACAGCAGCAGCAGCAGCAGCAGCCGCAGCAGCAGCAGCAGCAGCAGCAGGAGCTGGAGCAGAAGGAGCGGGATGAGCAAGGAGGACCATGAGAAGGTGGAGAAGGCGAAATGAGGGGGGCGACAACGGTGAAAGGACTCAGATCCAGAAATCAGGCCCACGCTGCAGCGGGAACACCTCCCTGAAACACCGAAAACAATCGGACTATAACATTAGCCTGGCGAAGAACCCAACCATATGCAAGTGTCAGTACCGCAGCTGCGGGCTTCATCTTCAATGGAACTCCCCATAGGACTACGGAACGTGTGAGGGGTGTACCGAGATGGGTGCCACTGGGGCATTCGGCGAAGCTCCCTATGGGGACATGAAACACGCGCGGGGCGTGCCGACATGGGTGGCGGAAACGCATGTGCGGGCCGCCACTGGGGCCTCCAGTGGAGCTCCCTATGGGTCCCCGAAACATGATGCTGCTGCGGGGGGGTGGCCGGATGGGTGGCGGAGACGCATGTAAGCGCCGCTACTGGGGCCTTCGGTGGAGCTCCCTATGGGGCCACGAAGCGCGTGAGGGGTGTACTGGGATGTGTGGCGGGGACGCATGTGAGCGCCGCCACTGGGGCCTTCGGTGCAGCTCTCTATGAGGCCACGAAACGTGTGAAGGGTGTGCCGAATTGGGTGCGGGTGGTGACGCATGCGGGCGGTGCCACTGGGGCCTTCTGTGGAGCTCCCTATGGGGCCACGAAACCTGTTGTTGTGAGGAGCGTGTCGGGATGGGTGGCGGGGACGCATGTGAGCGCGGCCGCTTGTGCCTTCGGTGGAGCTCCCTATGGGGCCACGAAACGTGTGAGGGGTGTGCCGAATTGGGTGGGTGTGGGTGACGCATGTGAGCGCCGCCACTGGGGCCTCTGGTGGATGATGGGGCCACGAAACCTGTCAGGGATGTGCCGAAATGGGTGTGCGGGACGCATGCGCATGTGAGCGCCGCCACTGGGGCCTTCGGTGGAGCTCCCTATGGGGCCACGAAACGTGTGAGGGGTGTGCCGAATTGGGTGTGCGTGACGCATGCGGGCGGCGCACTGGGGCCTTCGGTGGAGCTCCCTATGGGGCCACGAAGCCCGTGAGGGGTGTGGCCGAATGGGGGTGGCGGACGCATGCGGCGCGGCAGCACTGGGGCTTTCGGTGGGGCTCCCTATGGGGCCACGAAACGTGTGAGGGGTGTGCCGAAATGGGTGTGGTGACGCATGCGGGCGGCAGCACTGGGGCTTTCGGTGGAGCTCCCTATGGGGCCACGAAACGTGTGAGGGGTGTGCCGAATTGGGTGTGGCGTGACGCATGCGGGCGGCAGCACTGGGGCCTTCGGTGGAGCTCCCTATGGGGCCACGAAACGTGTGAGGATGCGGTCGGCGGGCAAGCACTGGGGCCTTCGCGGGGCTCCCTATGGGGCCACGAAGCGTGTGAGGGGTGTGCCGAATTGGGTGTGCGTGACGCATGCGGGCGGCAGCACTGGGGCCTTCGGCGGGCTCCCTATGGGGCCACGAACGTGTGAGGGGTGTGCCGAATTGGGTGTGGGTGGCGCATGCGGGCGGCAGCACTGGGGCCTTCGGCGGAGCTCCCTATGGGGCCACGAAACGTGTGAGGGGTGTGCCGAATTGGGTGTGCGGGACGCATGCGGGCGGCAGCACTTGGGCCTTCGGTGGGGCTCCCTATGGGGCCACGAAACGTGTGAGGGGTGTGCCGAATTGGGTGTGCGGGACGCATGCGGGCGGCAGCACTGGGGCCTTCGGTGGAGCTCCCTATGGGGCCACGAAACGTGTGAGGGGTGTGCCGAATTGGGTGTGCGGGACGCATGCGGGCGGCAGCACTGGGGCCTTCGGTGGGGCTCCCTATGGGGCCACGAAACGTGTGAGGGGTGTGCCGAATTGGGTGTGCGGGACGCATGCGGGCGGCAGCACTGGGGCCTTCGGTGGGGCTCCCTATGGGGCCACGAAGCGTGTGAGGGGTGTGCCGAATTGGGTGTGGGTGACGCATGCGGGCGGCAGCACTGGGGCCTTCGGCGGAGCTCCCTATGGGGCCACGAAACGGTGTACTGGGTGGGTGAAGAGGAGAGGAGGAGAGGAGGAGAGGAGAGGAGGAGAGGAGAGGAGAGAAGAGGAGAGCAGAGGAGAGGAGAGGAGAGGAGGACGCGGGGACCGTCTCTTCAAAACGAGGACCCAACACCACAGGATGGTTGGGAACAAGTGACTGGGAGACGGGAAAAGAATACCCTGGCATCCCACGCCGTGACAGATTAAGTCGACCAGAACCTGGACTGGACCTTTCGACCATCGTTGCACGACATCCCGCGAGCTGGACCGGCTTGCGTGGTTGTCCAGGGCCGACACGACAATCAACGGCAGTCGTGAGTTGTTCCTCATGCCTGGACGCGATGTCGGGAGGGGCAGAGGGGGCGGTCGTGCGCGCACGCGGGCGCGGCACCGTCGTTCCTCTTCCTCCTCCGCATCCTCCTCGTCTCAAACTCTTCTTCTCCTGATTCCTCCCCGTCCACCCCCTCCGCCTCCCTCGTCCATTTCTCATATGATCATCCACCTTCACCTCCTCAGGAGCAGGGGAAAATTGGAGCGTCTGGGGGGACCACGCCTTTCTTACGACACTACCGCCTCCTACGGCCAGATTTGCCGAGGGGCGAATCGACAGCCTGCAAGGCCACCCTCGCCAGACGTTGGGCGGATTCCAGGGAGAAGGGCGTGGGGTAGGCTTGACGCCCCTGGTGGGCTACCCGATAAAGTTGGAAGCAGAGGGCTGTAAGCTTGAACGCTTCTGGGCTGGGGTGGATTAGCCCAAGAGCCAGGAGGGTCCCAGGGGCGCTGGAAGACGATAGCCGGGCTGACTCAGAAATTCAGTCCCCTCCCCACGTCGTAATGCTAGCACTGCGTCGTGATGGATGGATACGATGCATCCCCGCCGCGACGGCCGACCAATTAATCGCCGCAGCATCGGCAGCACGGACCCCAAACCAGATGTGCAGACGGGAAAGCAGGTGGCGATGGAGGCGAGGTGGCCAGAGACACGAGGCTCAGCAGCAGGGGAGGGAGGCGGGACGGGAGGGGAAGAGCGGCGTTTGCTGCCGCGCCGATGCCAGAACGTGCACGCAGCCCCTGTACAGTGGCGACGTGCGAGATCCAAGCGGCGCTGCGACGTTGGGTCGAGGGGGGGGTGCGAGTGCGGAGGGCAAAGAGTTGAGAATCTCGATCGCACGTCGAAGGAGGACAAAGGGCTAGACGATATACAAGGGACGAAGTAGGAAGGGCACGAGGGTTGAGAGGAGGACGAGTAGGGAACGGGAAGTGGGGAGGGATGTGGTCAAGGAGGGTCAGATGAAGGGGGTGGACGGGGAGAGGGAGGGGACCTCTGGGAGCCTCCGAGGAGCTCCGGAGACCTCTTGAGACCTCGGGGGACGTGTGGCGTTACTTGTCGGCATCTTGCTCCGTACGTCCTCCTGCCTCGAGCTGAGGTGGGTATCGTGAACCTCCGCGCTGGAGATAGCCTGGCACTGCTCGTGTTATGTTTCGCTCCTCTGGCGGGCAAGGTCGGGTGAAGGGAAGATCAGTTGGGGCAGGCAGTGGAGAGGTAAGCATCGACATGGAATTGACGATACCTTGCCGCCGATGGATCCTATTACGATGCGCCCTCGGTAGAGCGCGGCGCACGCACCCCTACCGACCATGAGCGGGCGTGTGTGACCACATCCTCCCCAATCCCCCAATGGGGGAATCGAACAGCGAGCTCAAAAAGTGAGGTGGGCGGCATTTCCATCGAAGTCGAGGTGGAAGTCGACGGCTGTTACAACGGAATCCACAGAAAATTGATGTGGAGACAAATCGGGACACGCATCACCACCAACAAGCTTACCGCGTGTCCTCTGCATCATGCAACGAGGGTAAAACTTGTCAGCCATTCGATCGCTGCTGGTACGTGCGTTAGTTGGGACAAAGCATTGAATGCGCAATACCCGCACGTGGCTGGCGGCAAATGGTTGACAACACCCACCTCGGTTGTACCAGGGACAACTCGGAGCTAGAAGTTCGCCAGAAATCGTGGCCTGGGGAACCAAACTGGCATCTAATTGCTTACCAGTAGCGAAATGTATCGGAACAATTGGTAGAGGAATCGCGGGAAAGCTGCGGTTGCAGTGCGAGCAACAATACAACAAGGATAGTCTGAGCATTTTCAAAATTTACAAGGGGGGGCATGTGGAGAGGATGGAGGAGAAAGGCTGGTCGATGGCGGAGACTTCCGCTGGAGGGGCTGTCTGTTGCCACGACCCACCGTGGTGTGCCAAGCTTCTAGCAAGCAGAAGCCGTTTGGCGGTTAGACCCCTGCGCAGCGAGAATCCCCAAGACAGGTGTGCAGCCGAATAACCCTGGATGCACATCCGATAGCGCTCCAAGGCCAGTTTCGCTACTCCCAGACACCTCGCTCAAACCTCACGCGCTTTAGGGAGGTCTGGCCACTCTGCGACGGCATAGCAGTCCAAGGTGTTGTTTTCCAGCTCGTGCTCAACACCACGCCATGGCCCTGCGGGCTGGCACGTGACCACAGGCCAACGCCACACTGTTTTGGCGTCCGCATCGGCGTGCTCTCGGTCTTAACGCTGGTAGGGTGTGAGGCCCAATTCCGACTCGATGAGCCTTGAAGCTCAGGCTCCTGGAGAGCGGTCGTACCGTTCGGGCTGAGATCCCCCAACCGTCGAGTGCGATTCCACCGAAGTTCGTGGCTTCCTGACATTGGCAATGAACGGAAAGACATGTTATGTCACAACCTCTTCCATCTTCCTCAATCTTGACGGTCTGGCTTGTCCGACCCGGCAACTTACGGCTTGAATCCTCCCTGCGTTGAGCTCGGCGCCACTGCGAATCCCTGAAGATTAGCGGTTCCACCCGGCCTGAGTGGGCCCTACAGAGCCGTCGCCGCCTCGCACCCTCATGCAGCTTTGGTCAACGGCCCCACCGCAGGGAGCCTCGGCCTTCTTGTCGGTCGCAGCAAACGTACTCGAGCCGTCGTAGCTGTTCGAACCAAGGACCAGCGTGTCGTCTCAGCCCTCAACGGGCTCGTGATCATGGTGAACAATTTTTGTCCCTGCACCTGCGGCTCGGTTCCCCTTGGGCCCCTTGGGGCACACTCGGGAATATTTCATCCTTCGAAGTCGTGAGCCGCGCTGCTGCTGCTGCTCGTCCACCCAGGAGTTGGAAGGGGCGGTGGCTTCCTTCATGCATTGACTCTCGCATTTCGTATATACCTGCGGCCAAGTCAAGCCGTGGAATTCCGCGGCGCGGGGATCGAACTCGTCTCATCTGCTCCTTTAGCGAGCGAAACTCAATACGTGTCAACACGGCCAATCTCCACGTAGGGAAACCCAGCCAATCTATTCCTTGCATGCCCTGTTTGGCCCCAAGGAGGAACCTCGACAACACATTTCACAAAACGAGTTGATGCTGCTATCTGGGTGAACGAACCCGCCTTACTCTGCATCGCGACACGCCCCCCCTGCAGCCGGGCGCGCAAGCAGGGCACGCAACACGCAGGGTAGTAAGGTATGACCACTATGCATGGTCGGCCGAGACTGCAAAAGCCTGAAACCAGACAAAGCAAGGGAGCAGAGGGAGAGGGGAAGGGGTAGAACCAGGGAGGTGAAGGACGAGGAGGGAATGGAGGGGGGAAGGGAGGATCAATCAATGTTGGAAAATTCTGGTGCTCGATCTCGCATGTGCAGGATGAATGAGGGGGGGGAAGCTGTGGACATTGACATGAGTGGAAGGGTGGAGACATTGCGGAGGGATACTGAGATACATAGTGTGCGCACGCGCACATTGACCTCCCCATTCTATAAGCGCCTAAGTCCACATCGCCCTTAAAGCGGTGTGGAGGAAACACACGGAGCAACCTTGCCCCGATCACAATCAAATCGGAGCAGATGCGACGGAACGATGTTGCTCGACAGTGAGCGGGGTCACAAACACGACAACATCACCTCCAACTCCCTCCCTGCATCCCTTCCCCCCCTATCCCTCCTGGGCGACGACGGCGCCCGTGTATCGGGAGCGGCCAAGAGGGGGGTGTCCAAGAGGGGGGGGTGCAAACCATGACCGGCGGCATGTGCGCGGTCCAGCGGGGGGGCCAGGGCACGTATTGAAACAAGAAGAGGCGCCATGAGATCTGAGGAAATATCATGGCCCACGTCATGATATCCAACCCCCCCTAATTAGTCATCACCCCCCTCTTTGCCGCCCCCGAGTGTACGTACCGTGCCGTGTTTGGGCTAGCGAATCAGCTCACGTAGCCGGCTATCCCATCGAGGAGAGCGCCAGGCGTCAGGGCAAAAACCATCTGCATACAGCAGATGTCATACCCCGCCCTTTCACAACCCCCTCTGGCGTCCAACCCGACTGCAGCCCTCCTGGAACCTCCAGAGATCCCAGAACCTCGACCCTCGACCTCCCTCGCTGCCGATATACTCCGAGAAACACGAGCCCGAAGCGCGCGGCGAGCTAAACAAACAACAGTTGCATTGGCTCCGGCGGCACGGCGTTGCCCCGGCTCATTCCGACGCCGGCTCCGCCGATGGCTGATGGCCTCACGCGGGAGCGCAGCCGACACGCAACTCGCAGAGGAGGAGGGAGAAGAGGGGAGGGCGGAAGATGCTAACAGCTTCTGGGGAGGAGTGATCTGGGATCGAGCAAGTGGATGGAGGATCAGGAGATGATCGAAAATCTGGGAGGGAGGAATGGTTGGGGATGAAGGAAGGATCGACGCTCGGGGATGCAGGCACTGGAGCAGGAGGACAAATCGAAGATCAGGGGTAGAATACCGGGGCTTTGGAAGGCGTTTGGCCCTCTGAAGCCTCCAGATGCCCAGCTGCCTCTGCAGGTCCCAAAAGGGGCAGAGGCCCCTGGAGGGGCGGAGGGGAGGGCACGAGGGCGGTCGGGGAGGGCAGCGGAGGCTGGAAGGGGAAGGGGGAGGGTCGGGTCGGGCGAAAGGGGGGAATAGCAAAGAGGGGGTTTGAGAATCAGCTCACGTAGCTGATTTTCCCGGCACCTCCCGGCGCCGGAGGCGACTATGTATCGAGGAATGGGCCCCTCGGTGGGGCCGAAACCAGCTGCATGCAGCAAATATCGTAACCCCCCTTTCCCAATCCCCCCCTTTCGTCCGGCCCGAAAGGGGAAGGGGGAGGGGAGGATGTGAGAGGAGTGCTTCGGAAGGATGGCAGGGGTGCCTGGTCACAAGTCTCGGCACGGAGCACGGGAGAACGGGCGGACGAGCAGGGAGCGGACGAGGAGGGGGGAGGGACAGGACGGTCGTCGTCTCCTGTGATTTGCCTGCTGCACCCACGCTGCCCCGATCGATGCTCCTCAGAACGTGTGTTTCGGGGATGGACAGACCCCCCTTTAGCAAAACGTGGTTCAGTGAAAACGACCTGAGGCCCAAACCTGGCGGGCGCAAGCCTGGAAAATTACGGCCACGGCGCCCCCTCGAGAACCGAAAACGGACAATCCACTAATCGACGTGTCACTGTTGGGGGCTCTGCCCAGCCCCGAGTGTGAGCGCCAACGTGTACGTGTCCGCCGAGGCCCGTCGGCACGACGCTGGCGGGACAACGAGGGCCGTCACAGGCTGCGTGCTATCCTCGGTGGAGCTGAACGGGTAGACACACATGAGGCCGATACACGTCTTTGAAGGGGCCTTGGGACACACAAATAAATACACACAAATAAAATGATTCCCTATAGTTTCCCATATCTTCTGGGCTTTTGCCTTCCCGCCCAAGCCCATGTTTTCCCATATCTTCCTGGGACTCGACGATAAATTGCGTCTGTGTGCTTCTTTCCCTCCTGAAACACACACATGGGGCCGATACACGTCTTGAGGATCATCGGCACGGGGCTGCGGGGTCCGCCCGCTCCCCCCCTCACGGCGAGCCCGGCGCGGGGCGCCTCGCCGCACGCACGAGGACCCGCTCCGCCGGCCCCGGCTGCTCTCGTCGCACGTCCTGCACGTAGATAGAGCAGCCACTTGCCGCGCTCGTGCAGGCGGGAAGGCCTGGGGGAAACGGCGGCTTCGCGCACACGCACTCGAAGAGCCCGTGGGGCTCCTCCGAGGGGGGCCAACGCGCGGCACAAGCAGCAACCGCCGGGGACCTGCGCGGGCTTCTCGGGTCGGCGCCGGGCCTCCCCCCACGTTCAGCAGCCCTTCCCCGGCGCGTGGAGCGAGCCCAGCGCGGACCCGCGCGGACCTCCGGAAGTTTATGCTCATGCCGGCTTTGGCCCTCGATCCACGTCGACTCGTCGACCATGCGGACCGCCTCCTCCGCGCTCTCCCGACGTGATCGGAGGCTGCTCGCTCCCTCTGGTCGCGTGGCCGTGCAGCCTGTGGGAGCGCTAGTACGCCGCCTCGTCCACCGCGGCCGAGGCTGGCGCCCCCACCCGCGAGGCAGCGGCCGAGGGAGGCTCCAGTAGGGAGGGTGCGGCAGAGGGGAACTGAAACAAGGTCGGCTGGCAGGCTTCGGGCGCATCTCTTGGCAGGGAACGCTCTGCCACACCCGGCGACGCCAGTGTGGACGACTGCGGGGGCGCCTGGGCGCCCAGAATGGCCGAGAGTATCCTGTCGGCTGCACGCAAGATTGACCCCGTGCAAGAGCGGCCTTTCGTGCGCGGCTTCGGGGGGCCGCGGGGAGGCCAAATCCGGGCCATCCTAAGCGCGCCAGCCAAACCATGTGGGACCCCTGTGGGACCGCACCAAAGGCCACTCCGGCAAATACTGTCCCCCTTGCGCGCGGCCAATCCTGGCAGCAGACGGCGACATGGCGCCTGGGGACACGGCCCGTGGGCTCGGCGACGCGGGTGACAGCGCGAGCGGCGCCGCTGCCTCGTCCCTCCGATCGTGCTGGGCTCCGCCACTGCCCAAGGAGGCCGCAGCCCGCGGCGCGGCCTCCTCGGCATCGAGCTCCAGCTCTGCGCGCCCAGCGCTGCCCAGGGAGAGCGGGGAGAGCGCAGCCAGCATCGCGCTTGGAGGTGCGGCGGCCAGCGCCTCGACAGGCGGCGCGGCCTCCGCGGCGCGGGGCTCTGCGCACCCAGCGCCGGTCGGGGAACGCGCCTGGGCGGCCGAGCGGCGGCCACCCGGAGAGAGCGCGGCCGGCGGCGGCGCGCTGCGGGGTGCAGCGGCCGACGCCACGGCTGGCAGCGCGGCCTCGGCGGCGCGGGGGCGCGCGCGGCTGCTCCAGGAGAACAGCACCGCGCCTCCGCCCCTCGGGGAAGGCAGCACGGGCGGAGCGGCCTCCTCGGCGCGGGGCGAGCGCCTGAGGCTGCTCACCGACGGCGTCCGCGCGGTCGCGCCGAAGCCCCTCGGAGAAGGCGCGGAGGGCGGCACGGCCTCCTCGGCACGAGGCCCGGCGCCGATGCTGCTCAGCGAGGGCGTCCGCGCGCTCGCGCCGAAACCCGCCGGGGAAGTCACGGCCAGCGGCGAGACCCCGTCCGCACGAGGCCGCGCGCGCCCGAGGCTGCTCACCGACGGCGTCCGCACGCTCGCGCCAAAGCCCCTCGGGGTGGGGGCGGCTGGCGGCACGGCCTCCTCGGCGCGAGGCCGCCTGCGCCCGATGCTGCCCACCGACGGCGCCCGCACGCCCGCGCCAAGAGCCCGCGGCGAAGGCGCGGAGGGCGGCGTGGCCTCCTCGGCACGAGGCCGCGCGCGCCCGATGCTGCTCAGCGAGGGCGTCCGCGCGCTCGCGCCGTGGGCCCCCGGGGAAGGCACAGCTGGCGGCGCGGCCTCGGCGTGGGCGCGGGGGCGCCGGCGCCCGATGCTGCTCAGCGAGGGCGCCCGCACGCTCGCGCCGTGGCCCTCTGGGAGAGGCGCGGCCAGCGGCGCGGCCTCCTGGGCACGAGGGCGGTCGCGCCCGATGCTGCTCAGCGAGGGCGTCCGCTCGCTCGCGCCGCGGCGAGTCGGGGAGGTGGCGCTGGGCGGCGAGGCCTCCGCGGCGCGGGGCTCTGCGCACCCAGCGCCGGTCGGAGAACGCGCCTGGGCGGCCGAGCGGCGGCCATCCGGAGAGAGCGCGGCCGGCGGCGGCGCGCTGCGGGGTGCAGCGGCCGACGCCACGGCTGGCAGCGCGGCCTCCTCTGCGTGCTCTGCCGTGGCGGCGCCCATGACGGCCATCCGCTGCGCCAGACGCGCGTTCTCGTCCTGCAGCCTCCGGATCTCCTGGGGCTCGGAGGAGGAGAACGACGGCGGCGACGAACGTCACGACGATGTCGAGCAGAGGCAGGGGGGGGAAGATCAGCAGCAAGAGCAAGCACGGGAGCGCGAGTATATGTCCCGGAGCAATAGCCGGCGGCCAGAGCAGCCAGGATGGACGGCATCAAGGTGTGAGCATACTCCATGCGCGGCATCAAGGTGTGAACATCCTCACCGTGGTGCTCTCAAAGCGACCGAAAGGCCCCCCCAAGAGAGCTCCCGAGGCCCCTGAGACCCTAATATGGCCGAGGGCCCCCGAAGGAGGCACTGATTTACGGGGGCTGGTCGGGATGAACCTCATCTTTGCTTTGATCGGTGCCCCTCCTCCATCCGTCACTGATGCGCACCCCGCTGTCTTTCTCTCGCCCGGTGGCTGGGCTAGTTGGGCTGGCGGCGACGACACGCGAAGGGTAAAAAACTCTGGTGCTTTTCGACGTGTCCTGTGCCCCCCTGCCTGCAGATCGGAGGCCCGCGGGGACCTCCGGAGGCCCGAGAAGCAGACGCTTTCCAAGGCCCCGAAGCCTACCCGAGCCTCGCGCCCCCAGCCCCGCCTTCCCCTCTCCGCTCTGGACGCTCGAAGTTGGTACGGCACAAATGCGTATGGGGCCCAACAGCGAACGCTGTCCAACACCGACAACTGCAGCTGTTGGGCAAGCGACTATCTGTCTGAAACGGACAGCCGTCCACGGCGACACCGAGGGCGAGTCCTCTTCGGAATGGACAGGAGCTTCTGTCGGTGTTCGTCCCAATTCATTCCGTACTCGGATCACCGCGGGTGGTGCCAAGGGGATTAAGGCGTTATACGCGGATGCTATGGCGGCTGCCTGGCCTAGTAAGTGGGTTAGAAATAACCTAAGTGGCTCAGGGGGTTCGCTGACTCCGCTGAGTGAGCGGGCCCCACCTAGCCTAGACCTCTACCCCCCCAAGCCACTGAGGGCACTTCTAACCCACATAAAGGCTAGAGCAGTCAGTTCAGATATAACCCACCTCAGCATCCACCTATCCATTTAGCAACCCCGCAGTTATCCAAGTACGTACCCAATTCCGATCGTTCCCTTCCCCCTCTCGGGGGGGGGTGACAGGGTAGGACAGCAAAGAAAAAGGTATAGAGAATCAGCTCAAGTACCTGGTGTCCCCGGCACCTCCTGGCGCCGGGAGGCGCCCTCGTATCGAGGGATGGGCCCAATTACAGGGCGGAAAACAGCTGCATGCAGCAGATTTCGTAACCGCCTCCTTCCCTTCCTGTCGGCTACACGCAAGAGTGACCCTGGGTAAGAGTGACCTTCGGTGCGCGGCTTTTTGGGGGCCGCGGGGAGACCAAACCTGGGCGCGCAAGCCGCCGCTACCGCTTCGCTTCCAGCCATCTGAGGGCCCATATGTGCCCGCACCAACCGACACTCCGGCAACAGGTCACTCTTACGTCTAGTCGATCCTGCCCTTTCGTCTGGCCCGACCCTCCCCCGGTCCCACCGCCGGGTGGGGCCGAGGGGAGCCGATCTCCTCGAGATGCCGCTGGTTCTCCGCCGCCAGCCGGGCGACGGCGTCTGCGCGGCCCCCGTCGCCCGGCGGGGGCGCGGCCTCCACGCCCGGGGAGGGGGGGGGGCTGGAGTGATGGGCAGATGTTCCACCACCACTACCATATGTAGGATGAGGTCCTCCTCCTCCTCCTCCTCCTCCTCCTCCTCCTCCTCCTCCTCCTCCTCCTCCTCCTACGTATGGTAGTGGTGGCGGAAAATGCCCTGGGCATGGGGTGGGTGGGGGGCATCGGACCTTCGAGGTTCGAGGTTCGGAATTTCAGACACGCTTTCGTCGGTCGATCTGTGGTCTGCCAGCCTCAGGATGCCATCCAGCGCCTGCGCCTCGCCGAGGGCGTTCCGGGGGTGCCCCGTCGCCAATCGTCCCGAACGGCCGCCGTAAAGCCGAGTGGCCCGCCTGGAAAGGTTGTGGGGGATGGGGGGAAGCAGTCAAAGACGGGAGGCGAGGAGAGAGTATGAGGGAGGATGAGGAGGGCGCGGAAGTCTTGGAGAAGGAGATGGAGCTGATCACGCTACGCTCCAATCTTGACTCCCGCATCTCGCTGAGAAGTGACACCGCCTCCTGACACAGCCCACCCTTCCTGGATGCGCTGACCCCAGCGCTGTTGCAGACGACGTCCGGATCAAACATCGTCTGTCTCATCTCGCCGAACATCAACAACGACTGCTGCCACTGTCCGCTTTTCTCGCACGCGCTGACCCCAGCGCTAGCACAGATGACATACAGCTCCAATTGTGCTTCCGACATTTCTCCGAGCAGAGAGAGCGCCCGCTGCCACTGCCCACCACCTTTCCCGCACGCGCTGACGCATGCGCTGTAGCCGACGACGTCCGGCTCGACCGTCGCGTCGAACATCTCACCGAACAGCGACAGCGCACGCTGCCACTGGCCAGCTTCTCGTGCGCTGATCCCTGCGCTGCAGCCGATGACGCTCGGCTCCCAATTCGTCTCCCACATCTCGCTAAGCAACGACAGTGCTTCCTGCCACTGCATGCCTTTTCCACATGCGCGTATAACCACGTAATCTAAGTAGGGGTTACCTGGTACACGTATGTGACATGCTTCCCGATACAGTTTCAAAACTGGATTCCACTGCCTTGTTCCTGCGCACCTCTTGATGCCCGCTTTCAGTGGGAGCTCGCTGGGTCGAGATTCTTGTCCCCTGCCTGGCGTACCACAAGACATTTGACACGAACACTGGATCGCACCGCATCGCAGGCACCTCCGCCAGGGAAACGTCAAAGTTCCCCACTCGAAATCGCATGGATGAACTCAGCATAGGTTGATGCCTGCTCAGCCCGTGAGCGACAGCTCGGCCTCTGGGCGACCAGCGGCGGGGAGGAAGAGGAGCAGCAGCAATCCCACTGGCAGAGGTGTCGCGGGGAACAGGAGCAGAGGAGGAGGAGGAGCAGAGCAGAGCAAGAAGAATGCGTGGAAAAAGAACAAGAAAGAGGAGGATGAAGAGGAAGAGGAGAAGGAAGTAATCCGTAACCATTTGGGCTTAAAGCTGTATGCGGGAACTCTATCTCCCTCCCTCGTCCCCTGCGCCCCTGCCGCGCGGCCGCCCTCGGGGGGGCCAACCTCAACGCGCCGTCGCGCCATCGGCGGCGGGCGGCGTGCGCTTCACCGTGAACACCTTCATCCACGAGAGGGTGAACAACATTGTGTGCATCTTCACTCACGTGTGTTCACAACCCCTTTCCACGGGTGGGCGGCCAACAGGGTGTACATCATCCGGGTCACGCTACAAGACCTACCCACGCTTCCTGGAGACATTCCCGCCGAAATGCCGAGACCAAATGCGACCGGGACGACACAGGCACGAGCAAATGCAGTATGCAGGAGCACGGGATACCTCGCCGACGTGGGATGAAACCACACCTCAACGACATCATGATCATCCCTACGGCCGTCCTAAAAAAGGCGCATCGCTCCTGCGACAGGCTGCGTAACAAGCAGCCTCACGACAAGTACGATGCCAAGTACGGCAGCTCGGGCGACTACGACACCGAGTGCGACACGAAGCACGAGAAGTACCACGAGTACGGCACCAAGTGCGCCACCAAGGTCGTCGGCAAGTTCGACGGCAATCGCTGCGGCATGAACCTGTTCGCGGCCGCTTTTATGGCAGGCCAGATCACGATCGACCTGGCCGCGGGGTCCTTGCCGTAAGGGACCCAGGCGCGCCTCGGCGACCAAGTCCACCGGAGCTTCCTTTCTCAATTGCCGGAGCCAGCGTGGCCTACGACGGCCGCTTGACCAGCTACGACATCCTCCAGAGCAGGCAGGTCCGAGGACTCCAACGGCCGCCAAGACTAGATTGCCACCAGTACCGCAAGCAAATCTTCGACGGCCAGCTTCGAGGGCCACCATAAGAACTTCAATGGAAAGATGCAGAGCCTCAAGACCAACCACCTGAACTTCGAGGGCCACTGCCAGAGCTACGACGGCAAGAGACAGAGCTTAGAGGGCGCCAAGCTGAGCATGGAGAGCCACCAACGGAGCTATGAGGACAACAGGCTGATCTACCAGCACCATGCGCAGAGCTACGAGGGGTGCAAGCAGGTCTACGAGGACCATCAGCCGAGCTATGAGGATAAGCAGAGCTTCGAGGACCACACGCTGAACTACGAGAGCAGCTACCGACCGAACTACGAGAGCGACCGGCACCTGCCTCCCTGCCACCTGGCTGGAACAGCTACCTCGACCAGCAGGGGCGACGCTACTACCACCACGCGGCCCTGGGAATGACGACGTGGACGCCGCCGTATACCGGGCCCGCCGATAATTACACGCCTTCGTAGCTGCCTCAAGGAGCCGCCACGCCGCGGAGGCATCGAAGAGGAACGCGCCGACGAGAGTGACGAGGAGGATGACGACGGGCACGACGACTTCAAGGAGAGCGACGAGCACAGCGAGGCAAGACCAGAGCCACTACGGCCAGCAGATCTCCAAGAGCCGCCAGCCGAGCCACGAGGGCCACCTGCTGAGCTATGAGGGTCACAACATGAAATACGAAAACAGCAAGCAGGCCTTCCAGCGCAACCAGCTGGGCTTCGCGAGCAAACTGCCGAACTACGAACACCACGAGCTGAGCTGCTCGGACAACCGGCAGAGCTTCGAGGGCCACCAGCTGTGCCATCGGGGCCACTAGCAGAACTACGAGGACAGCTGCGCTTCGAGTGCCACCAGCATAGCCACGAGGGCCGGCAGCGCGCGCCCGACCCACGCGCTCGCACAGACAAGGGCGACTAGGCCATCCTCGTTGCGGGATATCCGGATTAATATGAATTGAGCTCGGGGCAGGCGCGAACCGCCAGCCTGATCTCGGGGGGCAAACGCTTCACGGGGGGGCGGGCAGGGGGCGGGGCAGAAGATGGCCAGGAGAGCACGGACAGCGCGAGGAAGCCTGAATACACGCGCCAGTTTTTCATCGTCGGCATGGGCCGCCGTCGGAGAGGACATCGGACTCGCCCTGAGCGGCAGCGCGGCGCATGGGCATTCTCACCTGGATAAGTCACTCGCTGGGGGCGGCGGACACGTCCGAAGGGTGGAGAAGAGCACCCGCGCGCCGGAGATACCGCTGGCGCGGCGCAGTCCAAGGCGGGCTAGAAGAGCGCACTGTCTGGGGCCAGGAGGTTGGGCCAAATGACGAACCGAAAACGACGAGAGAGCCTTCTCGAGGTCCGTCGGAGGCTAGCGGGTGGAACTGGTGGCAGCAAGGTCGAGGACGTCGGGGGTCGGGGTGCCAGTGTATATACTGTCTAAACGCGCAAGGGGAAAAAGCGTCGTCCGTCATCGCGCGACGCGCGCAGCATGCGGGGTCGACCTTGGACAAAGCCGGGCAGCGCTTGCGAAACTCCACGTCGAGCCAGAGAAGACAACACTTCCCGCGCCCCCGTGCAAAGGGCACCGTGCGTCGCGAGCTGCAGGGCCGCTGCAATCGCAGAGGACAGGAACAGCGGCGGTCGCCGCCGACCACATCTCACACTTCGCCCGTTGGAACTGACCGAGACGCTCAGACGAGCCAAAACCGGGAACACAGCGGGCATTACTCATCTGAGATGAAGCACGAGGACCATACATTTCCAGAGCCGCGATTCTTCCCCTTGCGATCCCAGAGAAGGCGACGCCCTCGAACTGATCTCACACCGACTTACGGACATTCGTGACCACGCTTCCCGTGCTAGGCAAGTCGCAGTGGCTTCCATCATGGAAAAGGTTTTTGTTGGTTTCTCTCTCTCTCTCTCTCGTGTGCGTGCGCATGAACCCGACGCCGCTCGCGCCACGCATCTCCTGCACGAAAGCCACATCGCGCGGTCCCATCGGGTTCCACGCGCACGGATGAACACGCCCCTGCGTGCCATGACTTCCCAACATGGACCCAACGACGATGGGCGCCCCATGCCGCGGCTGGAAAGTTCAGAGGAAGAAGTGCCCGCGCCCCTGACCGCCCTCCGAAACACCGCCGGCGCCGATGAGCAGGGCTGGAGGCGGAACCGGGGTCGGCGTCGGGCTCGGAGCTGCGGGAAATGCAACAAGGGGGCAGGGTGGGGAGAGGGGCTGCTCAGCGGGACGGTGCGCTGAGACTGAATTGGCTGCAGGGAAAGCCCTCAAAAGAGCACGGCGGCTTCATCGCCGTCACCTCCTGCCAACGCCTGCGACTCCAGGAACTTGGAAATGTCGCCCGTGCTGATGTTCCACACGGTGAGCCAATCGTGATGGGCAGTGGGGTTAGAGGACGATCTGCCTTTCTCCTTTGCGATGGCTGCGCGCTCTAATGGATATCAGACTCCACCCATCAGGCTCCGCACTCAGCCTCATCGCGCCACGGTCGGAGTCGATCCCCAAGACAAATTCCAACAACCGCTTGCGGACATGGGCATGTACAGTTCCTGGACGGACCTCTTGTTGATTCGCGCGGATTGTGGCAGATCTGTTGGAACCCTAAACTGATGTCCTCGTCCTCGTCCTCGTCCTCGTCCCCGTCCTCCTCCTCCTCCTCCTCCTCCTCCTTCTCCTCCACCTCCTCGTCCTTCTGTTCCTTCTTTTCCTCCTCCAACTCCTCCTCGTCCTCCTCCTCCTCCTCCTCTTTCCGATCGCCCACCCGAAGCACTCCGACACGGTCAGGCTCCCATCTGGAGCTCGGAGGCCTCTCCCTCGCTGGGGGAAATGCGACCCGGAAGCTCTGAGCGATGCATTGGCCAAGGGCTGCTGGCAGTCGGCCTCGAGGCTTTTGAAACGATTGCTCTCGCCGAACACGTTCATCATCATCAGCATCAGCATCAGCATCAGCATCATCATCATCATCATCATCATCATCATCATCTTCATCATCATCATCATCATCATCATCATCAGCATCAGCATCATCATTAGCATCAGCAGCATCAGCATCATCATCATGATCATCATCGTCATCATCATCAGCAGCAGCAGCACGAAGGCGGCCGATGACCTTCGTACGCGCATCATGTCCAAGATCGTCCTCACCCTGTCGACGCTTGGAGTCCCCCTCGCTGCCGAGGCGCGCGACCCACGAACTGGAAACATCTGGCGCCGTAGGAACACTTGATGAGGCTGAGCGTGCTTTACGGCTTTGTACATCCTTTTCGTTCCTTGTTTTAGTCCAGGCGGACAGCTGGTTACCTGCGCAGACAACGCAGTGATGTGCATCGCCGCATTGCCAAAGTGAGAAAAAAAACGTGGCCACGTTTACCACGACAGACTGGGACCAAGCCCCCGACTGAGTGATAACGGACTGATGACACTCTGCCATGGTCTTCAGCATGACAAATGTGGGCTGGCCGACCACATTATGCTCCTCCATGGTGGCAGCGCCTGGGGCGCGAACCCCATACGGCAAAGACCCGGAAGTGTCCACTTGGGTGCGACTCCAAGATTGCTCGCACAAGTGAAGCTGCCCGCCCGCGTGCCTTCGCGCTCCCGCTGGTGGCACTTGACCCAAAATTGTAACGGAGGAAAAAGAGGACGAGGAGGAGGAGGAGGAAGGAGGAAGGAGAAGGAGAAGGGAAAGGACGACGACGAAGAACGCGAGGAGGAGGGTGCGCCTTCTCCGCGGCGAGCCACGGGGCGTCGCACTCACCCGCGGCGTGGGGGAGGTAGCTGGCGGGCGCCGTCGCGCGGCGGGCGTGCGGCCTGCGGGCGCGCCCCCCTTCGCCCGCTGATCGGGCAGTCGCTGCCGTCGGAAACGTTTGCTCAGCGTGTCGTGGCGGCGGTTCCGGCCACATGCTGTGCCCTGCGAACGGACAGCGTGTCGTTCCGCTCCGCGCGGTGGAAGGCTCGGGAAAGGCTCTGAGCGTTGGCGCTTCGGGGTCGGGAAGTGGATTGCGTACTGCGCTGAGGCGTGGTGGGCCATGAACCGGCGGAGCGACACGCAAAGTTCCCGACCGCAAAGGGGGTGCAATACAGGGGGTGTGATCGAGGGTTGCAAGAAAGGGGCCCTAAAGCCCTAAAGGGGATCTTCAGGGTCCCTACAAGGCCCCCCCATATGAGGCCCAAAAGGGCATTTTTCGGACACTAGAGATATCCCTTTCCCCTCCCCCTGTTGTATCGACCACCCGAAATACGGATGAGGAGCCCAAAAATCTTGTGCATTGTTCTTATGCCGATACTCAATGGAAGAACATGGTTTACCAGGAAGACGCTTATGCGTGGCACCGCCCGAGCGTCGCCCCCCCCTTCCGATGGATCCTCGGCGACGGTGGTCCATGCATATTTCCCATCTGAGATACGTGTTCCCCGAACTCCCGACCTGGTCCAAAGCGTAAGTGAGCGTCGTCGTTGTCCTCCTCCTCCTCCTCCTCCTCCTCCTCCTCCTCCTCCTCATCATCATCATCATCATCATCATCATCATCATCATCATCATCATCATCATCATCATCATCATCATCATCATCATCATCATCATCATCATCATCATCATCATCATCATCATCATCATCATCATCATCATCATCATCATCATCATTATCGCCGACGTCGCCGTCGTTGCCATCGCCGTCATCATGCCCTGTCAGGGTCGGCGGCAGTGGCCGCAAGGCCTTCCCAATGCGGGTTCCCCAGAAGCCCCGGCCTGGCCAGCGTCGAGTCGTTGACTGACGGTCCCAGGGACCTCGAGGCCGAGACTCGGTGAAAACTGTCGCCTTGATTGTGTTGCGCTTGGGGGGGAGGAGGAGGAAGAAGAGGAGGAGAAGGAAATGGAGAGGACGAGGAAGAGGAGGAGGAGGAAGAGGAAGAGGAGGAGGAGGAAGAGGGGGAGGAGGAGGTGGAGGAAAAGAAGAAGAGGGGAGGGCGGCGTCGGTACAACCCCTTCGCCATCAGCTTATCACCGCATCAGGAGGTTAGGGAGGAGAATGATGATGATGATGATGATGATGATGATGATGATGATGATGATGATGATGATGATGATGACGATGATGATAATGATAATGATGATGATGATGATGATGATGATGATGATGATGATGATGATGATGATGATGATGATGATGATGATGATGATGATGCTGATGCTGATGATGATGACGCGGAGGAGAAGGAGGAGGACACGGAGGAGGAGGAGGAGGAGGAGGAGGAGGAAGAGGAGGAGGAGGGGGATGCGAGTGGGGAGGAGGAGGAAGAGGCGGAGGCGGAGGAGTGCGGGTAGCCCGAGGCGAGCGTGTCTCCTGAGGCCCAGCCGCCGCTCGCGAGGCGGAGAATTTGGCTCGCGCGCGACGAGAGCGCGGGCAGCCGTCAGCAGTGCGTTTGGCTGGCTGGCCGCGGCCGTTTTGCATGTGTTATAAGGGTGGAATGCAAGGACGATGCGTCGGATGGTGGCCTGGAACGACAGCTCGCTAGGCACAGGCGGGTAGGCTGCTGGGCGGCCCAGCCCCCAGCGCGTCAATGCGTCGAGGAGGAGTGGAGGGTCGGGGGACCAGAGGAAACCCAAGAGGCGAGGGCAAGAGAGGTAGTGGGGGAATGAATCTGGCTGCTCACAGCAGCCGAACACACACAGCTGCGGGGCGCGAGCACGCGCATGCGGGCGGTGGTCGTCCACCCGCCAGCCACGGTCTCGAGCGTTGCCCAGCGCCCGCTCGGGCGAACGCTGCGCAGTGTATCGGTGAGCGACTTCCATCGCTCGGCCAGTAGATCAGGTTCAATATGTAGGCCCCGCGCGCCGACCCGCTTTGTGAGGGCGACTGCGAAGGGCGAGGCGCATGCGGCCATGCGAAGAGACGCAGCAAAGGCTCGCTGGAAGTGGTGGCGGCGCGGCGGCTGAGCTTCCAATGCCAAAGCCTTTTCCGCCTGTGCTGCGCGGCGGGCTTCTTGCATCGCAGCCGGTGTGAATGGGGGGGTGCGCTGCCGCGCGCGATTGCTCCCAGAAGCTGGGAGACCACGACCCGTCCAACCAGCAATGGGAAGAGTGAACTGCACTTCCCCCCCATGCCGCGTCGCGGAGGTGAGTTAAGTGAGGTCCCCGAAGCTCGGCCAAGGCGCGCGACGCAGAACGGGCGACGGTTGCGACAGACATGACCTGTAACGATCGAATCACTCGTGGCAGCGATCAACCCGCCATAGCCAGGAGGTCGACCTTGCGGAAAGTGTTCGGCGGCAGACCTAGCATCTCGTGGAAAATGCAATGCTCGCGGTGTACGATGGATGCGGGGACTGGAAAAACTGGCTACCATAGCTTAAAGTAGACAGCGCTGGCATGTTGTAGAGACGAACCGTGGCGTCGCTTACAGAGCGCCCATGCCGAAGCGACTGAGCGCGCTGCAGCCATTTCTGCCCAGAGGCGCGCCAATGGTCGGCCAGGGGGGCCGAAGGGCCGAGGAAGATCCCCAGGCATGAGGCGCGCCCCTCGATCGAATACTAGCGCCAGGAGAGCGCGAGCGCGGAAAGCAGGCCCTGGGCGCAGGCAACGGCAGCACGCGACGCTGAAGCCCAAAGAGGGACAGCAACACACTTGCGTGGCTTAAGCGAGAGGAGTGCGAGGCTAGCGGCGGCGCCAAAGGCTTCAGTCACTTCGCCGAACGCCACGATGGATTCGCACGCGATGTCCAGTTCGTCCGCGCATGCGCCCAGGTAGTTCGTCGAAGTGGCATCCGCGTTGTCCGGGCCGATGGCGGCGGCGACGCGGCGGGCCAGCGGGCGCATCGCAATCGCCCGGGCGGGCCCGCTCGCATGGCAGCCCTGGGCAACGCCCGACTCGATCGCGAACGCGGGGCGGCGTGCGCCGTCGACCTTGACCGAGGAGGTGGGTGCGTTGCACGTGGCCTCGAACAGATGAACGCGGCCCGTCGGCTGCCCAAAGCGGCGCAGCGCTTTGAGGGGTCACGTTCTGCCGAGAGATAGGGGCGCCGCTGCGAAGTCGAAGCCGATGAGGATGGGGCGGCGCCCCATGGCGTTCTCCAGGAAACCAACACGACGCATGCCAGCGTCCAGTCGCACAATGTGCTACATGAAGTTCCTGCCCATGACGAAGCCCTGCTGCGCCTTGCGGATCCGCTCGGCAACGAACGGCTTCATGAGGCGCCTGCGATGGCCTTGATGTCCGTGTTCTTAAGCGAGAGTGGTCGAGTGTCTTCGGGTAGGCGACCCGCTGTGAGTTCGCCCAAGAGGTCGCGGCCCTTCGGGAGACATGCGAAGTCCGAGTCGCTCACTCCACGAGGGATCGAGTGCCCCGAGCAGAGGTGGAGAGCCAAGTCCTCCAGGATGGAGAGCGAGTGGTCGCGGGCGATCCAAAAGTTGCGCGGCAAGCTGCCCGGGCCTGGCGCCGAAGGGGAAGCCCGCTTCAGGAAGGCCCGCAATTGGTGCATGGACGGCGGCAGGATGTCCAGCTTGTCCCCCTGCGGCGCGCGCGTGTCGACGCGCGCGCGGACGGCGTCGGGGTCCACGGTCTTGTGGGAGAAGACGGGGCGCCGAGGTTTGCGCGGGGCGTCGACCATTTCGCCGCTCTCTCCGGTTGTGGCAGCGGGGCCGTTCAGGCGCGGTCTCAATCCCTTGGAGGACAAGCCGGCGCTTCCAGGGGACCCAGAGGAGGGCGCGCTTCTGAGAGACCCGCAACACCCTCTGGAGCTCATCAGGGGGCAGGGCCTCTGGGCGGCCCCGCGTGGGCCTCGCTGCCCGTTGCGCCAGCGAGCGCCGGTGCGCTTCGAAGTCGCGGCGCAAGGAGGGCGAGAAGCATGCGAACTGGGCGCCGTCGGTGAGCTCGACGATCGGGGAGTCGATGTCGAGGAAGCGCTTCCAAAGCTCAGTAGCGGCGTGGAGCCGTCGTGCCAGCTGCGCGTCTTGTCGCCAGGTCGCCCGCGAGATCGAGCGCGCGGCGCAGACCCCGGGAGAGGTCCCCCGAGCTGAGGCGGGCCCAGTCGTCCCAGACCATGCGGGCAGCCTCTGACATGCAGTGCTTGCGCTGGCGCCGGCGCGCCTCGATGGGGAGGCGCTGGGTGTCCGCGGCGCCGATGGCGCCCTGCATGTAGGTGGCGTAGTTGGGGCTCGCGGAACACAGGTGGCGGAATGGCTTGCTCGGCTGGTGGTGCGCGCGGCTTGACGCCGATCGAAAAGGAAATGAAGGCGCGGTCGCTGAGGCGCTTGTCAGGAAGAATGGAGGGGTCGCGCGGCACGCGGACAGCCGCCGTGAGCTCCCGCGTCGCGTGGGAGGGAGGGCTGATGAACACGCGGTCGATAGAGGAGGCTGCGTAGTCTGACTTGTCGAAGCGCGCGGCGGTGGTGGCGGGGGGGGGGGGGCGGCTCGGACTCGACCTCCAACGTGGAATCGAATGGGGCCTTCCAGAAGGGCTGCTGCTGGCGGTAGTTGTTGCCGCGCTGGGGGTGCGCGCGCATCGCCCAGGGCTGGTTGAAGCTGCTCGGCGGGCGGCTGGCGGTGTTGAAGTCGCCCATGGCCAAGGAGGCGCGCGCGGTGTGTAATCGCAGGCCGCCGATTCGCGAAGCGCGTGCCAAGCTGCGCGGGCCCTGTCACGGTCGCGCGCTTGAAGTTCATGGTCGTAGATGTTCACGACGGCAAGGGGGCGGCCTGCGTCCACATTGCTGATGACCAGCTGCTGGGTGCGCCCAGGCACCGGCGAGACATGCTCGAAGACGGGAAGCTGGTCGGGGCGGAGGCGCCCCTGCTGCGCGCGCGTGAAGCAGGGGAT